TCACTTTCTAGACGGACCAATTAAAATTATAATCATAGAAAATTAGGCGTTTGAACGAATAAATGAGAAAAAAATTAAGGATGAATGAAAAAATTAGAAGAGTGAGCATGTGGACGAGTAACAACTAAATGGACAAACAAATTAAAAAACAAACAAGCAAACAAATGAAAAGATGAATGTTTGAAAAAAAAACAATATGAATGAATTAAATGAGTGAATGAATGGATGAACAAACGAATAAATGAATGAATGAATGAGTTAGTGAATAAGAAACCATTTAAAAAGTATTAATGAACAATAATTTAAACTAGAAGTAAGAACGAACGAACGAACGAACATGCGAACAAATGAATGAACACGATGAAATGAAATAAGATGCGTATAAATCAATCTACCGCTTAATAAGGTACCAGCAGCCAGTCACTATCACCATCGCCCTGTCATCATCGTCATCATCGTTATCATCATCCTCATCGTCATCATCATCACCATCATCGTCGTCGTCATCATCATCATCATCATCATCGCCGTCATCATCATCATCATTATCACCATCCTTCTCCTCCTCATCATCATCATCATCTTCCTTTTTATTTATTATATTTCTTATTGTCGTTAAGATGCAGTGATGTTGTCATAAAAAACAAAAGAGTAGATGATGACGATGATAATGATGGTGATTATAAGAATGGTGATGATGATGATGATGATGATGATGATGATAACGATAATAATAACGATGATAATGGTGATGACGACGATGATGATAGTGATGATGATGAAGATGATGACGAGATGATGATGAAAATGATGACGATGATGATGTTAACGATGATGATGATGATGTTGACCTACGATCTTTGTTTGCATCCCTCAGCTAAGAAACAGTTGCAAGCATTAATTCTTTCAGACGTGTGAGGTGAGAGAGGGAGAGAGAGAGGGAGAGGGAGAGAGCAAAGGAGAAGGAGAAGGAGAGAAAAAGGGAGGGAAAAAGAAAGAGAGAGTGGGAGAGAGTAGAAGAACGTGTTAGAGAGAAATTAAAAATAGGAAAAGATAAACATAAGAGGTATAATAAAGAGAGAGAAAGAGAGAGAGAGAGAGAGAGCAAGAATAAGATAGAGAGAAAAGAAAAGTAAAGAAAGTAAAGAGAAGAGGAGAATAAAATGAAAGTGAGAAATAGAGAGAAAGAGATGTAAAGAATATATGATAAGAGTATTGAGACAGAAAAGGAGATAAATATTTAAAAAAAAGAGATAATGATAAAGTGAAAGTGCGTCAGTCAGTCAGACAACAAACATCAACAACATTTGTGTTTCCACTTAACTAACTCAGCCAATTTACGTAGGGAAGATTTTGCCTGTCAATGTTGATGTTGTTGTTGATGTTGTCGTTGATATGTCGATGTTGTTGTGGATGTGGTTGTTAATGTTTTTGATGTAGTTGTTGATGTTGTTGTTGATGATATTGTTATTACATAAACAACATAAGCAACAATAACAACATAGACAACATAAACAACATAGACAACATAAGCAACATAGACAACATAAACATAGACAACATAGACAACACAAACAACATAAACAACAAAAAGAAAAAGAACACTACGTAAATAAAATAAATGTAAACAAAATGAATAAAATTTAAAAATCGTCTCAATTCTATTTAAGGAACTGGAACATTCACCTTAAAAATTCATCTCATTCTTATACATTATACATTTTTCTTCTTTTAATGTCTAGTTACCTTTCTTTTTTTTCAAATACATTTGAGTTTTATTTTTTTGAATGCTTTTTTCTTATTTTCTGTCTCTCTCTCTCTCTCTTTTTATCTTTTGCTCTCTATTTTTTAACACTCTTTTTCTTCACTTTTTTTCTTTTTGTTTTCTTTTTCTCCCTCTTCTCACTTTCTCTCTACCTTATCACTTTATCTCTTTTCTTCCTTTTTTCCCTATGTATCTATTTAAAATATATTTTATCAACTTTTTTTATCCTGCATATTACACGGAATCTTTAAAATCTAATTAATTAATTATGGTCTCGAAGCTGCCAGCCAACATGCCGATCCAACAAGCCCTCAACAGACTTCTATTTTTTATTCGTCTCAATTAATTTTTGTAATTTTTTTATTTCAGCTGTGTGTCGTCTGCCTGCTCGTTTAAAAATGGGACAAATACTTGAATAATTTAATAAGTTTGTCTTTGGAATCGTGAAAATATTACGCTGTTGTTTGGTAATATAATGCAATCATGGAAATTGGAAACTTGTGATTGCACCATTGAGCAGTTCCTAAAAAGGTTTCTGTCATATTTGGTTGAATGATTGTTAAATTGTTAAAAACACATTAAACATACACTGAATATACATTTAACATTAAACATACATTAAGCGTTAAACATACATTAAACATTAAACACACGATTGATGAATCAGGGCAGCTAGGGAATAGGTTGAAACAAACTGTTAAAAAAGGAATGAATAAATGAATGCTTCCTATATCTTTTCTTCAAATAAATCTATTTAAAATACATTGATACAAGATTATCTACATTATCCAAGATAAGTGAATGGTTGGATAAATTTATGATAAACAACCTATAAGCCTGAAGCCGTTATATAATTACATTCAGATGGTTGTTGAAAGCTGTTTGTCGGTGGCGGAACGTAGCGAGAAAAATTTTAAATTTCATCACATTCAGGACAAAAAATGATTGAAAAATGTATTTAACCTGATTAGCTACAAATATCAAAGATAATGTAACAATTTATTAAAAGAAAAAAAATCATTTAGAATATCTTTGGTGAAAAATTAAATGAACAATATGACGTCATCCTATTGGATTTCATTATTCGATCAACATACTTATTTTGATTCAGAATTTTTATCAGCGATTTTTTCTTTTTCGTGAATTCAAACTAATTTTTTAATTTTCTGGAAGATGTCGTTGCTGAAAAACCATCGAGTTAGTGCAGAGGAGATGCAATTTTAAAAAAAAATTTTATTTTTATTTTTCAAAAAAGATTTGATCAATTCGTGCGCTATTTTGCCGTTTAAATTATAAAAATTTAACTGCTCGAATATTTTGCAGTTTTGAAGTTATACATTTTCAAAAACGTTAGTTTAAAAATTACAATGTCTACAAGCCAATGCAGAGCAAGACAAATGATAGTTATGATAATTTGACCTACATTTCCAGGGTCCAGTGTTTGTGATCATCAGGTTCCCCTACGACCTGACCTTAACCTGCAAGAATGCCCTCATGAAGACCCTCTCCATCCACGCCAACTACAGCGGGTGCATCTCTGGCATCTGCACTTCGGTTCCCACCTTCATTCATTTACTTCTTTTTTTTTGTTCGCAGTTCTCTCACTCTCTCACGTTTCCACTTAAACTTTATTTTATTTTATGTTTTCTGCATAATCTATTTAAAAATTACTTTTTTGAAAAAATTTCAAATAAATTTGTTTCATGAATAACGTTTCGATCATTTAAAGTTTACATTCTAAATGAAGATTGAAGTTTAAATAAACCAAGCGAATGAATTATGAACAGTTTTTCAGTTGTGTATTAAATTTAATTTGCCATGAATGTGATAACATGCTGGGAAAGTGTGTAGCATGGAAACCGAAAACTGATGCAGATGAAAGTGTTGGAGGGGAACTGGCCCGGGACGATGGGGGTGGCCATCTTGACCTTCAAATCGTTGAGGGATGCAGAGCTGTGGAAGGACAGTGTGCCGGACATCAAACAACCCGATTGGTTGAGGGGCGTGGATATGTTAATTGTGCCCATCAAGCATCTTCCTGGTTGGTCAGATGTCTTAGGAATGTAATGGTTACTTTGAATATTATTAATGAGAGAATGCGGACGTTCAGTGAATGAGTCTCCGTTGGCAAGCAGGAAGTTGGCAAAATAATGAATAATTATTCAAACAAATTAACTCCTCCTACAGGCAAAATAAAACGTGCAAACACACAAACAACAACACAAACATACAAACAACAAAACAAACATACAAACAAACAACAAAACAAACATACAAACAAAAAAACAAACATGCAAACAACAAAACAAACATACAAACAACAACACAAACAACAACACAAACAACAACACAAACATACAAACAACAAAACAAACATACAAACAACAACACAAACTGTACAACTGCCAAACAAATCAAACCAGCTCCGAACAAAGGTTTCGTTCAAATAATGGACATGTGCCTCCATGATTTGGCGTCATTCGAGCACAATTACGCCTGCGAAGCCAAAGAGGTTATTAACTAAATATGAACCGTATTTGTTTTTCATTTACCCAATTTATTCATCCATTTACTCATCTTTCCATCCATACATTCATTTTTCATTCAACTTTCCATCCATCTATCCATCCATCCAACTATCCATCCATTCAGGTGTTGAATTATTGGGGCGCATGTGCGGGTGTGGTGTCGGCCCCCTCCGATTGCATCCACAAGGTGAAGGGGTTGTGGGACCCGAACTACCTCATCATCAACTTCTGGCCCAGCTGTCAGGTCTTCGAGGAAGCCATGAAATCAGGTGAGGCAGCTGTTGGTTGTGCGTGTGTGTGCGTGCGTGTGTGGGCGTGTGCGTGCGTGCGTGTGTGTGTTGTAAATCTGGCGTTGTGTATTTTTTTCTCCAAAGCACTTCAATTACCACCAACGTCCAAAGTTGACATTCACTACACAAACACACGGTCGTTGATTACTACAACTACTACCACTACCATTACTTCTACTGCAGCTACTACAACTGCTACGACTGCTAATAATATTTTTCACAATACTTTTGCTGCCACTACCGCTATAGTTGCTGCTACTACTTCTATTTACTACTGCTACAACTATTAAATTTTTACAAAAATAAATACTATACACTATTACTACTAATAAAATTACTACACCCATACGACTGTGGCTACTAAAACGGCGACACCATTGTCACCACTACAACCACTGCGTCGACCAAACAACAGACCAGTACAAAGACCTGATGAACAAGCGCAACCACTTCTCTGCCAGCCACACGTGCGTCTTCCAGCTTCAACCAATCGTTGAAGCCAACCCATGCCTCGTGCCGTGATTGGTTGAAAAAAATTATGACGTCTTATGTATTTAATATTAACATTTATTTATTACCAATTATTGCTTATTTAATTATAATCCGATTTATTACAATTTATATTTTTTATTAGCGTTTGATATTTAAACTCTAATATTCTAGCTTTTTTTTACTCTAACAGATTTTTGTAATGAGATCCAGGTTTATGATAGCGTTTGTTTCACTTGCAAGTTTTATGATCTTCGCATTTGTTCTCATTTTTGATTTTGATTTCTCATGATTGAAAACAAAAAAGAAATGGGAACGAATGTCAATCAATCAATCAATCAATCAATCAATCAATCTTTGATTGATTGATTGATTGATTGATTGATTGATTGATTGATTGATTGATTGATTGATTGATTGATTGATTGATTGATTGATTGATTGATTGATTGATTGATTGATTGATTGATTGATTGATTGATTGATTGATTGATTGATTGATTGATTGATTGATTGATTGATTGATTGATTGATTGATTGATTGATTGATTGATTGATTGATTGATTGATTGATTGATTGATTGATTGATTGATTGAGTGATTGATTGATTGATTGATTGATTGATTGATTGATTGATTGATTGATTGATTGATTGATTGATTGATTGTGTGAGTGACACTCGTTCTCATTTCTTTTTTGTTCTCAATCATCCATGCTAAAACTCCATTTTGAAAATCACCCATAACAATGACACGTTGTTCAATTTTTTATTTGCATACAAACGCAACAAAAATCTTGAAATTAAAAAAAAACATTTAAATGTAAATATAAATACAGATGTGCGTGCGTCTGCGTGTGTATACAAAATAAAGCATATATATATATATATATATATATATATATATATATATATATATATATATATATATATATATATATATAATTTTGCACGTTGTGTGTTTGTGTGAATGTGTCACTGTACAATATGTTTACAGTAGAGTGTCGTCAATGTTGATACCGCCTTGTGTACTTTCAATTGTTCTCCCGGAAGAACCTGTGTTTCATTAGGAGAGAAAACTGTTTGAAGGAGGGTTTGACGTCATCATCTCTATATTCTGCTTCATGCTCGTCTCCATAATCGTCTTCATCGTCGTCGTCATCATCTTCATCGTCATAATCATCGTAACCATCATGTTGAAGAATCACAAGCGGGATTACTTTTTTCAATATCCTCGTTGGGAAGGTTGTTATTGCGGCTGTTGTGGCTGGTGTGGCTGTTGTGGCTGTTACAGTGGGCCTCACCCTAAAAACCACAGTTTGTGGCATCGGACGATTCCTTGCGCGTTTGTTTGTAGTTCCGGCTGGAGCAGTCATTTTAAAAGTGGAAGTACGTACAATGGCAGTAGTTGTGGTGGGGATCGTAACATAAGCTTTGAAAGCGGCAGTAGTTACACATTCCTTTCCACCACCACCACCAAGAGAAAATGGCGGTTTGGCAGAAACTTTCATATTCAACATCACATTACCTCCAAGCACTTCAATTAAACTTACTACATCGTTCTTTCTATGCTTATTTTCTGTTGTCACGGCTGTGTCTTGATGAAAATCGTTCGCATGTTTCATGTTCTTACCATGATTAAAATTAGAATCCAGGGCTGAGAACGGTTTCAACCTCACCGAATTCGGCCCAACAGAAACGCGCTCTGGAAAGACGCCAGAAGTGGTTCGAATGATATTTTTATCAGCTCTCCAAATTGGCTGATTCAATTCGAGGACCAAAAGTGCGACGAAGATAAGAATGATGATGCAGCTGATGATGCTGGTGAATATCAAACAGTAGTTGCACCGCATCTGATATCTAAACATTCTACGTCGTTGGTGAAGCTGGTGGTCAGTGGTGATCAGACGGGCTTTCTTTGATCCAATCTGAAAAGATTATCAATTGATTTTATCAATATTGTGCTGACATTAAAATAAAATTGTCATGCAATATAGAAATTAACTCGAACGAAACAATACTTTACGTCAGACCAAGCGTTCAAATAATAAGCAGCAGTTCGCACAATTCAGAATCGAATATGTATCAACGTTTAACGTTACAAACTGCCAGACGATGATGAAACTTTTCTTGAGGCACTAATAAAAACGGTCTTCTATATATACTTCAACATTATACAATCACATTCTAAAGGTTGTTAAAAAGCATTTGGAGGTTGTAATATTGTGTAAGGGTTGTTTAAATTTTTGATCGATGTCTGAAAAGTTAACATTTCAGAAACTGTCAAACGGTTGACAGCAATCACTTTATTGGATTAATTCATTCCACTTAATCCGCCTGGCTTGCTGATGTGTTGGGGCATGCTAACCTTGTTCAGCATGTGAATATCCAGGCTGATTTTCAATTGTAGACAATAATGTTAACAGTTTAAATAAAATAAATGTTGTTAACTGCAAAATATTTAACAATTAATTGCTACAATGTTAAATGAACGTCATTTTTATGTGACCTGAACAATTATTAATGATGTAACAAATTCGTCGAACCTACCTTGAAGTTTATCGCAGCAGGTTCAAAAATTGTAACATAATTTTAATGGAAGAAAGTGGACGCAGTCACATAAAAAATTAAACAAACATATAAATAGGTAAAAACACACATACAAATAATTATAAACACGCTCATAAAAAAGTAAAAACACACATACAAAAAATATAAACACAAACAAAAAATTATAAACACACATACAAAAAAAGTATAAATACCAGCAAGACAAACAGAAACAAACATCAATGAATGAAACACTGATGTTACAAAATGTAGCAAATTCATTTGTTTCAAAGCAGAACAAAATCACTCCACGAAGAACATCTCCACAAGTCAAAATGGAATTCATACTGAGACACCAAACCTCACACAAACTCACCTATTTCGAAATTTTTCACAACAATTTTTTCTCTTTTAAGTTAACTTCTCACCTAACTAAATATAAACTAAACCAAACACGTAGTTCTAACTCGAAGATGAAATCGATTTGTCACGTTCAAATAAACCACCCAGTCTATTTATATGAAGTTTAACAATTCATCACACTCACACTCACATGCACACGCTCACATACACACACACACATATATATATATATATACAAATACAATACATATATACATACAGATATATGCACAGTACATATACATAATATGAAGTGTTAAACAATGAAGGCAAGCAAATTTGTTGCTTTTATTGCTGTTGTTAATTATTTGTTGTTACTATTGTTAACAATCGACTTTGTTGTTATTGTTGTTGTTCTTTATTTTTATTAGTGTTGTTCAATTTGCAGTTGTAAATGTTATTTGCAAATGGTGGTACCACAGCGGTTGGTTGTCTACTGGTCCAGACGGGAACGCGCACACAAGCGCACATCTGCACACATTTCAATAAAAATACAACAAACACATACAAAGTTACATACTCACACAGACACGCACACACATATGTACACACAGGCACATGACGCACATATTCAGACAAAAACACACACACAAACGCGCACACATATAGATGGAGGCACACATACAGTTACAAACACACACATATGTAGACAACCCGTAGATAAACAGAAAGATTGTCGTCATCATTATCATCACCAACGTAACAAGAAAGTAAATGTTGCGTAATCATTTCGTTAGTGAGATATTTGTCGTCATCATGTCAATCATGTTGATGATGATGATGATGATGTTGATGATGATGATGGTGATGTTGATGATGATGATGATGATGTTGATGATGATGATGGTGATGTTGATGATGATGATGATGATGTTGATGATGATGATGGTGATGTTGATGATGATGATGATGATGTTGATGATGATGATGGTGATGTTGATGATGATGATGGTGGTAGTGATGTTGAGAGTGACGACGACGATGATGATGGTGATGATGGTGGTGGTGGTGATGATGGTGATGACGATGATGATGATGGCAATGATTTCCCTTATGAATTACAGAGATGATGATAGCATTCACGATAATGATGACAATGATAATGACGTCAACAGTACTCATGATGATGATGATAACGAAAATGGCAAGTTGTAAGAAGGTGAGAGGTGCGGTGTTTCTTTGATCTGCAGCAACACACACACCGACACACAAACACATACACACAGTCTAAAAAGTTGTGATTATCTTCCAAGCCAACGACATCAGTGCTAGCAAGCAACATAAATAAGTTCGATAGTAAGAACAATGATGATGTTGTCGACCATCATGAGATGAGACACACTGTACACAAATGTACAAGGCCACGCGGTACACCAGCAAGGTACATCTTAGAGATGTTTATCGGCGCCGACCACACGCTGGCCACGAACAATGTGCTGGCCTGTAATTGAGGGTGGGTCCATTTAATTGTAAATTCATCGCGACACCTCTGATTGCGTTCTGTTAGGTTGGGTTCGGTTGCGATTTTTAAGGGTTTTGTTGGCCTCTGTTTGTTTGAATGAGGGCCGGGTGGAAGTTAATTAATTTTATGGTGTCACCATAAAATTGTGATAAACTTGTCATAACATACCATTACATACATACATACTTAAATCAATTAATTGTTATTTTTATTCTAATTGTTATCTTATTAACTAACCGTAATTGTTTAAAACAATATTTTAATTTATAAAATTAACTTGATAAAATTCAAATCAAATCAATTTGATTTAAACAAACTTTTACAATTAGCCACGAATTGAATAATATATTTTGAAGATTGAAACCGTGAAAGTTTCAAAGTTCAAAATTTTTCTTGCATACTTGTCATAACCAGGCATTAATTAAACATTTTATTATACATACTATTTTTTCTCATGAGTGCCAGTGGTTAAAGAAGTTTCTGATCATGAAGTCACTGTGGATGATAAATTGAAGTTCAATAGTCCTGTTTTGAAGGTACTTCACAAAGCGAACTCTATGCTAGGTTTCGTTGCCAGAAGTACCTTTATAGCCAGGTTCTAGCCATATAGACTGCCGTAAATTTTTTGTTTCGAATTGAGTGGTGGAAGATTGGAACAAACTGCCCTCGGTCGTTGTTAATGTCATCTTCTTGAGCGGTTTCAAGTCAGCAGTCGATAGTTACTGCGGTGACTCCAAGTTCAGTTGGCCATTTAATTTCTAATTTTTACTTGATCTGTTTATCTGTACAGTTAAATCCATTTTGCATGTTGAATCATTATTAGATTAGTCTGTCATTTAACGATTTATTTATAATCATTTTGGTTCTTGCGTACGTTCTTATAAGCTCACGCGTTTATATTCAGTTCAATTCTGTTGGCACTTTTTTTTAATTCAATCTGATATATTTTTATTTTAATTTGACTTTTGATTTTTCTGTATTTGTTTGAAATATTAATAACATTTATAAAAATTAGCGCTTGTTCATTCGATTTTTATACTTTTTATAGAGTTTACTTTTAACTTTTCGCTAAACTTTATTTTAGGTAAGTTTCTTCTCAATAATTCGAAATTTATCTGATTATGTTGTAATCTTTTAGAAGCTTCCGACAAAACGTTTTTAAAATTTTTAATCTGTAAAATAATTTTAATTAATAAAAGTAAAAATTTATTTGTAATTATTTGCTGATTGGGCGAGAATTATTTCCGGGTAGGTTCACCACAATTTGTGACTGCTGTTGTGAGAAAGTTATGTGATCTAAAATTTAGACATTTTTTTATTATTCGTAAAAATTTTTCTATTTTGTAGTTATGATGGGTGCATTTTAATATAATTTAAATATATAATTAGTTAATAATATAAAAATATATTATTATTAAATGTTAATCATTAATTCATTATTATACAAACATTTTTAAATTATATTAACAATATTAATAATTAATATTAATTCAGTTAAAGTTTAATTAATCAAATTGTTCAAAATGTAATGGTGCAGATGTGATCAAGTTTGTGATGTAATCATTATAATATTATTATTATTATTCATTCATTATTGAATTGACAGTGTAACAAATGAATTGGATTTTAATTGAAAAGTCACCACTGATCATCAAATTAAAACAATTGTAGATAGAAATAAAAGTACAGTTAAAAATTTGCCACCACCAATTCAGGTTTGATTTGACGTCTGCCACACGGGATTCACTTTAAAAGAATAATAATGACAACAGTTGCCTTCTTCAAATGCTGCATCATGCAACCCCAGCCACAAGTGAGAACTTCCCCATCAACTATTCACCTCTAATTTTCACTCCACAATTTTATTAAGTTTTAAATTATAATTTCAATCAGTTAACCAAGGAATATATATGTCCTGGTTATGACATTAAACTGGCCCTCACTGCCTTGTGAGTGATGTTGGATCATCAAAGGCTAGGCCCACCGCTTATAACTGTGGTTGCGTAAGGAAGGGCGTCCTGCGTAAAAACTAACCAAATAAATTACTTATGATGGAATGGCGTCGAGGGGTATTTCGGTTTCATCATAGGTAGCCAAACGGCAACCCCAGATCTCGGGGAAAATGTCGTCTAAACGTGTGTTGTTGTTTTGTTAACCAAGGAATATATATTACAATTATTTATTTATTTAAATAAAATTAATTGAAATCTGGAAAACCATATTTTTTGCCTTATTTATAGGCCATTTTAATTTCAAGTCCATTATTTATTATTATATTATTTTTAATTATTATTGTTATAATTTATTATTATTTTAAATTTCTAACTTTAATAAATCTCATTTGCTCAATTATGTCTTAAAAATTTTTAAATTTGTTTTTAAAACAATTTTTATGTCATGTTAATTTGATTTTAAAAATTTTAATGTTTGTTCTCGATTAAATTGTTTTGATTGAATTCCATTGAGATTAAAAGTTAAGAAGTGTTTTCATTCAATGTAAATGTAATAAATTTTTCTCTAATGACAGCAAAGACGACGAATAATCGATAGGTCGATGATTGGCCAGCCAATGAACTTCCAACACACTGCCCACATCGGATCGACTGATGTCTCGCAAGATGGATTATCTGTTATTATTATTATTATTATTATTACTTTGCACCAGCTCATTTTTACGTACTCCCATTTTATTAAGAAATACAAAATGTCATGATTAGCCCTAAATATCATTTCATCCTTCATTTGTTTGGCATTTGGGTGATTTTATTCCCTCTTGCACGAGAAGAAATAAAATTTGTGTTGAGACATTTAAAAGTTTAATAAAATCCAACATTAAGATTGTAATAATAAAATCCAAAATTAAGATTGTAATAATAAAATCCAACATTAAGTTTGTAATAATAAAATCGTTGTTAAATAAAAACTCCACAAAGAATGATTGAATGATAACATAAGGTAACAATAACATCAGTTAAAAATCGCCACACGACAATGTTTTTAAATAATGACTGACCCTGTTAACATTTCCAACCACAAACAACCTTAACCACCCAATCACCTACATCTTAATCACAAACGAAATTATCATCATCACCATCACCTTCAACCCCAATAGCAACCCCAATAAAATTTCTCAACCACAAACAACCCCCCAGTTGGATGGCCTCCAGACGAACATGCAAGCCAAGGGTGGATACAACCCCGCCACGTCCTCGCCCATCCTCTCACATCTAAAACTCATCGATCTTCAACCCATTGCCATCAACTCTTGAGGTTTTGTTTTCCGTCATTTTTGTTCATTCAGTCGTTTGTTTATCTTTTTATTTATTTATGTGTTTGTTATCTTTGTTTTTAGATTGTTTTACTAATGTGTTTATGTGGCGGCCTGATGGCTCAATGGTTAAAGGCGCCTGGTCTTGCTATTGCAATGACTGGGTTCGAATACAA